AGGCCACAGCTGAGCCCTCCACCTGCTGGGCTAGATTTCTGCTTACAGGTGTTTTTCCCATGTAGTTTCCTTTTCTCACCAAACCTGGGAGAAAACCCGATCTAGCCTATTTTATTACCCGAGAACTCAGCCTTATCATCCTACAGATCAGGCTGACATTCATAAAGTGAGGCACGCAGACGGCATTCGCGAGCGATTGCCCCATAGCTCAGGAATGCGCTTATCTCTGGGGAAACGTGAGAATTTTCCAAAAAGCATTTCCTAAGAAAAGAATAGAATAGAAAAAGGGAAGGAAAAAAAAAACCAGAACAGCACAGAAGGAAAGCTTGTTCACGGCCAAGGAATTAAAAAAAAAAGGCAAAGAAACTGTAACTCAGCTTTATTTTCAAAGGTTATTCTGTTCCACGCAAACAGCGGTTTTGCTAGCTTCGTTTTAATTTTATTTTTCTGGAAGGTTATCCGGTCTCGCTCCAATGGAACTGGGGGTTACAAACTCCCGAGGCTCATCAATTAAGGTTTCTGATTTTCCTTCCCACCCCCACCCCCACTTTTAATGAAAGAAAAGATGGACTAGATTTATTTTCCGACCAGGAGCGTTTGGGGCTGTCAGAAAAAGTCTAAGGCTGAATGGAAAGGCCAGGTTGGGCTGGGGGGGGGGGGGAATCCGCTCAAGCGGCTTAGAAAACTCCGTGACTTGCCCAAGGTCAAAAGGTGAATCAGTGGCAGAGAGCCCAGCCTTGACGGACTAAAGCAAAGCCGAAGAGGAGAGTCGGGCAATCTAAGCACCTAAGCATCTTCAAGGATGAAGAATAACCTTAATTTTTCCCCCAGCGGTGACTTAGCGATAGGTGACTTTCGAGCCATGTGTGCCATGACTTCCTTTTTTCTCCAAGGCAGAGCAAAAAGTGGGCAGAGAGAGAGGGAATGGCTGTAGGGATCGGAGATGATGGTTTGGCATCCATCAACGTGGGATATCGAGGGCCCCCAAACTCTAGGGACACTTTAGAAGTAACTAAGCAAAGGAAATAAACACAAACACGGATGGGGTCGGTGAAAAGCAGCAGGACTGAATCGAAACATCTGTCCTGGGGGCCTCTATTGATCCGCTATGTTCTAGTGGCATTCGGAAACAAAGCCTTTGCTACCAGAAAAAAAGCATCAGGGTGATTTTACATAGCAGGCCACGCTAACTGGGCGGCCTTTCCACTGGACGGTGTATCGTGTCCCATCGTCCCCAGCCGGCCGATGCCGGATTGACAAGCCCTACGTTCTCACACCCCGAAAGGGTGGGGCGAAGAGAGGGGTCGGAAATCGGCTCTAGGGGGATGGCCCGAAGATGCACTCTGAACGTGATCAGGGGCACTCTGGGGCGACGGTCTTTCCACATTCCAAAGGATACAGGTGGAAATGGTCATTTTGACACCCAGTGCATCCTCGGGAGGTGGTAAAATAGGGAATGTGGGCCCCAAAGAGGAAAGAAAGAAAGAAAGAAAGAAAGAAAGAAAGAAAGAAAGAAAGAAAGAAAGAAAGAAAGAAAGAAAGAAAGAAAGAAAGAGGGAGGAGAGATTGCCTGAATATGGTCATCTGCGAAATAGGGTCATATCCTTTCCTAAAACTCACTCTGGATTTTAGTGCCTGCTAAATTTCAGCACCCCGAGGCAACACCCCAGTGGCCCTGCTGGACAGATACAAAGCCGATGGCTCGCCCGGATCGAAGCCAGTACCCGTTTCCCATTTGTCACCTCGGCACAGCCCACCTCTGAAACGGATGGAGGAATCATCTGAGCATAGACAGAGGACCAGCCTCTATTTCCCCAGAGGAACGGAACAGGAGCTGAAGCGGACATTGGATTGGAAGCACGGCCGAAGGGGGATCAGCAGAGGAGCAAGGGGAGGCAGGATCAGGCCCCTGTAGTTTGGGAAGGGTTTTTTAAAATTATTGTATGGAAGTGAAAAACCCGTCTTCAGAAGGAACAGGGTACCTGGAAATCTCAAACCGTTGGACTTAATTTGACCGTGTTTGCGTTCCAAGACCCAAGTGGTGAGAAGAGTGTCTCTGAGCATGCACAGAGTGCCTATGGATAGGGCCACCCCCTCCCCTCCGCCATCAAGTGACTGGTAGCAAACGGGTTACAAACGGGAAGGAAGTCTCCCTGGACAAAGCCGGCGGCCTCCAACCGGTTGTGTCATCCACCCACAGACACACAAACACACACGCACACACAATAACCCCTTGCCTTCTTTCCTATTCAACAGCCGCAAGGGGCTGGAGTGGCCTGGAGGTTGCCTTCCTGCTGACCCCCCACCCCCAACCCAAAGATGACCAAACCACAAGCCCTCTCCCCAAAAAGTGTGCCTATGGGGAGGAGTGTTATCTGGCATCACACTCTTCATTCTTACAGATTCTCTCTCCTCTGCCCACCCCAATCCTCTTTTGTTTATAGATATATATATATATTGGGCCCTGCTGACAGCAAGCTAATATGTTACCTCTGTAGTAATAACAACAATAACAACCTCATCCGTAGCAGTTTATGTAAATGCATAAGCGGATCTCCTTCGCTTACGAGGTCCTCTTATCTAGAACTTGTTTTGCTTAACTGTCCTTCCTTCTGTCTACAATAGATGCTCACCCATTGGAATCCTAAATGAAAAGGGTGTGTTGCCAAGATGGGAGGGGGCTGTGAAAGAGATGCTCTCCCACCCCCTTCCAGTCCCCTGACTTTCCCTGTTTTCTGCATCATCATTTTATTATCTCACCCCGAGGGGGGCCTGCTTTCCATGCCAAGAAGCCCAAACCGGGCAAGATGACTGGGGTGGGTGGGTGGATGGAAGAGAAAAGCCTTCCCTTAACACCTCCTCCCAAGACATCTACAGATTGAGACAACAGGAAAATATATATATATTTCCATATTTTTTTTTCTTACTGGCATCCTTCTTTCGCCACCCACCAGACAATTGTAATTCCAGCTTCTTGGAGGTCGGATTGGTTCTCATGCAACCTGTCCCTTAAACGCCCTGTATTGGAGGGGGGGGAGGGAACAGTAAAGGAGATGAAGCTGAGATTTCTAATTATTTTGAGGGTGGGGGAAGGAAGGTTCTCTTTCTCAATTATATCTCCCAAAGACACACACATATATACACACAAAGAGTCCAGCCATACACACACACACAGAGAGAGAGAGAGAGAGAGAGAGAGAAAAGATGGCTAAATCTAGTTCTGCATTTTGATTTTTTAAACACAGGGAGGGTGCCTGAGCAAAATCCATCCCCTCCTTTTTTTTCTTTTAAGGCTTAGCGGACAAGGAACCATGACCTGCATGTAAAATCTAGTCCATCCTTTGCTAGGAAGAAAAGCCAGAAGAGGTAATATAGAAGATCCAGTCTGCTGAAGGCTTGGGGAGGGGGGAGAACCACACTCAATATACAGAGGTTTCATAAAGGATCCTACAGACAAGCTGGGGAATCTGACTTAATTGCAGAGAAAAACCAGAGGTATTGGTTTGAGGGATAGGTTGGAAAAATGGATATACGCTGAGTGAGGACCATAATGGCAGTTTATATACAGGGACAGAGGGTTCCAGTTCTCTGGGTCTGAAACTGACCGCCCAAGGAGGTGAAATCGACAGCTCCAAGACCCAACAAAAACATATCAAATGCAGCACACTTTTTTTTTGCAAGTTTCTCCATGTTTCAAGCTTTCCGCCCTTCCCAGCTCCCCACCCACCTCTCAGGAGAAGTATCTGAGGCCCCCCTCCAAAGTTTGCAAGGATTAAATAGATATTTGGAGGGGATGGGGAGGAAAGTCAATTCATTGTCTCCTTTTAAGCCATAACACAGTAATTAATTCGTTTTTTTTTTAATGCAAGATACTTAGTCTTACCTTGAATGGTCTGGAGTCCTCGGGAAGTTAAGATTTTCTCCTCTCTTTCTTCCCCCTTTCTGCTGCAGATCTCGATTAAAAAAGAAGCAAAAAACCACACACCCGGCTCTCTCCAAGCTTTTCGAAGGGGAAATTTTCCTCTGCTTCTTTTTCTCTCCTGCTCCTCCTTTTACACCTGTCTCTGTCTTGCCTCGGGTTTCATCTCCCCCTCCGGGCTGCAGCAATCCGGGATCCAGGTGCGAACCAGGGACGAGAGAGAGGGAGAAAAGACATGGAGGGGGGCTGTTGGGGAAAAGGGGGGAGCAACCCCCCCAATTCCTCCCCCTTTCCTGCTCTCAGAAACTCTGCACCGGTTGGGTTACGATGCAAGGAGGAGGGAAAAAAAAAGAGAGAGAGAAAGCACCTTTTGTAAAGGAAAAACAAAAGGAGGGGGGGAAGAGAGAGACCTGCAGGGATGGAAGAAAAAAAGAGGATTTTCACAGCGTGCAAAGACAAGATGCTCTCATGTTGTTTTTTTCTTTTAGTTTACAGTGGTTTTTCGCCTGGCTTTTCTGGAAGGGATGTAGCTGCCAGCCCGGTTGATGAGGACCGAAAGGTCTCTCTCTCTCTCCTCCCACCTTGCTTTTCCTTATTTTTCCCCCCTGGTGTTATTGGGGGGGGGATCCGAGATGCTGCATCTCCAGCCACCAGCCGCTGGGTACTGCAGGCTTTTGAGAAACTCACCAGCTCGGGCTGGGGCTGGCTGGAAAAACAGGGCTGGATCTCCGCGGCTGGGTGGAAGCCACGGAATTGGATTCCCGGGTGCCTTGAACTGTCAAAAGCCCCAGCAGCCCACCCTCCTTCTGGAGCCAGCGGCTGGAGGCTGGAATGGTCAGCAGAAGCACCGGCCAACTCTATTTTTTAAAATGGTGTTTGAAGCAAAGTCTTGGAAAGTTTCCCGTCAGGATCAAATCACATCAAATCGGTGTTTGAATCCGTTCGGAGGAGCCAGCTATTCCCCCCCCCCATGGGAGCCTTGGCCGAACCCACTTTGTGAGTTTCATAAGCTCAGGGTCAGCAACTGGCCAACCATGCCCATCACGAGCCCACCTAGGGTTTACGTAAATCTCAAAACTCCAGATGCACCCTAAGAAGCCAAGGCGGGCTGGGGGACTATGGGAGGAAGGAGGAAAAGAGGAACACACCGTGGGAGAGGGACCGACTGCATAGAGGAAGCCACGACGGTTAAGTTTTGCCATTGCTGTGCAGAGCTCTTGAAGACCAAGGGTTTGGGGAGGTCAGTAATTGCGAAAAGGGAGCAGCTTTTGGTCTGCTCTCCAGTTCCCATGAGGATGATGGGAGGGACAGGCTTAGCAGAAGGTCAGGAATGGCCTGTTCTGGCTTTGTAGAAGCCATGAAATTCTTGTCCTTAACAGGGAGCAAATCCCCATGAAACCCCATGTGCCTTTGTAGACAACTGTTTCCCCATGCTCCACAAGCACATTTCCCTGGCTGTCCCTTTTTTGGGGGGGCTGCGTGCTCCATCACACGCAGGCCTCGGCTGGGCCTGATGGGCACTGTAGTCCTGCACAGGGCGGCCTGCTTTTCATCCGAGGGAAAACGGGTTCTTGAGCGCAGATCACACACGTCCCCGCTTCTTTCGGTTCCGACAAGACCAGAACGTGCTGCGCTGTGCTAGGCTGCAGAGACGTCAGCCTGCGGTTGAACTTTGGATCGCCGTTCTGGCTCCTCAGTGAGGAAGAAGTCACGCTTTCTCCCCACTGGCTCTCCTCTCTCGGAGACTGCGTGGTGAGATGACTCATGGACGGGGGGGGGCTTCAATTCCATCCCCCCCCCCAGAAAAAAACACCCCAGGCGTTAACCTGGCCATACCTGTGGCAGCATAATGAGCCACCATGCGCAGAGACCCAAGTCAGGCATACAACCTCCGACCGCCACAGCCCCAAAAGCTGCACGGTTGAAAATTAATGTCTTACATTTATCTCCCCCTCCAGAAATGACCTTTCGTTTCCGCCTGCTTTCCCACGGCCGCCGCGAGTCTTGCCGAAGAACTCTGGGAAGATTTGCAAAAGAAAAATACCGTTTTATAAAAATAAGAGGCGGGGAGGAGACATTTCACCCTTTAAAACCCTTACTGTTCGTCCCTACAGACGTAAACAGAGCCTTTGTTTTTTAATTTTCCCTGCTTCCCGTGGTCCACATGTTGCTGCAATAATACTAGGAGCAATAACAGCACTAGTATAGTGAGCAATAATACTAGCAGCATGAACTCTTTAACATTAGCACCGAGCACCAAAAGCTACGGAAATAGTAAGAATTACAGCATTGATAGGATTAGTAGCCCTATTAGTATACAGGTCAGTATTAACAGCGGTAGCATTAATACTAGCATTGACAGGAGTATTAATACCAGAAGTAATAATAGCAACAACTGCAGATTAATATTAATAGCATAGGATCTCAGTCAGCAGTATTAATAGTAACAGCGTTGAGTACTAATAGTACATAATGTAGTACGGAACACTACTACCAAGGTGTTCAAACTGTCAATACCAATTTAGAAAAAGAGAGAGGAAAAATAATACACTTTTTTTATCTCTTCTTGGTGTTACTACTTCACTCCACCGCCCTGAGGCTATGCTTCTGATATCAAGACAAGGGCTGGACTTGATGATCTTTAGGGTCCCTTCTAGCTCTACGCATGATTCTAAGATGATGAAGATGATGATGATGGATATTTGCAACCAGAGAGCCCCCAAACACATTTCGAGCTTTGGATTGTAATATTTATAAGCAAACGCTCCTAAAATACACAACAGATGGCTGGCCATTAGAAGAAGGGATTCCTTGAATGCTAAAAGATGCCCTGATCATCACAGCACTGCAGTTTCACACCTTCTGCAGTCTGTCCGTCAGCTCGCTTTGTTTTCTGATTGGCTGTTGGGAGGTAAACACGGGCCTCTTTTTTGCAGAGGTGAAACGGCATCTCCAGAACATTAAAATGAAAGAGAAAGGAAGGAAATGGTCTTCGAGCAATGCAAGAAGGAGAACACAGATTAAGTTAAATTTGTAGGAGAGACAAGGAAACTTTATAAGGGAACAAATTCAGTGAAAATAAAGTGAAAGGAAGAAGCCGAGCCAAAACAGAAAGAGGAAGCCAAAGAGGTTCCTCCTACCAGTTTCTGAAATTTTTAACCCTTCTCTCCAAAAGAAGGACCACTAAGTTTGCAATTAAAGATGGCATCAACCATGAGCCACTATTTATGAGCCTGACAGAGAGGTGCAAATGATAACACATCTATTAGTCATCTGGCCTGAAAAGGCCACACACCACCTTGACACTCCCATGTCCCCTCTGGTTTTCCTGGGGTGTCCACCGGTGGTAGCCTTCAACCTCGGTCAGTCGTGCTCAATGAATTTTGAAACACCTCCATGTGAAATATATATATTGACAAATGTCCAAAGATGTGGTTTCAGAAGCACTTCACTGGGAACGCTTGGCAATTGCAGTGGGAAAACATATTTCATCTGCCAGGTGCCACTGCAGAGAAGGCCCTGCTTGCAGGCGTTCCTCTATCGCACACCAAAAAAAAGGAAGAGTCATCCAAACCGTCACCCATCCGTTGGGCTCAACACCCTGGGCAGCTGCTCTAAAGGGCGGGCTGAAATCCGGAGCGGACGCCCAGCTCCCGACAAGGAAACCGCCAGCCGGCGCCAATTCCTGTCATCTTCAGCTATCGTGGGGAAAAGACCTCCCTTCCTTAAAACATCCAAGACCTGGTGGGTCCATCGGCGTTGGCGCAACTCAAGAAAAGAGACCATGGGTCTCTCTCCGTCTGTGGCCAAGTTCTGATCTTTTAAGTCAGCCGGAGAACTGGAAATTTAGTTTTTCATGGGAAGGGCCTCTAATCTCATCCCCTGAATCTTTTTTGACTTTCTCGCCCAGAATCCCTTCCAGATCATGTCTCCCCCCCCCCCCATGTACCTGGCTGCAGAGCCAGAGGTTGGGAATTCGAATCCCCCCACTTGACAGGTGCCAGACTTGATGTTCTACAGAATCTCTTCAAGCTCGGCCATTCTATGATGATGACGATTACCACCACAGGCATGCCATCAAAAGAAATATTCCACAAAAATCCAGCCATGTTCGGAGCACCCATGGCCTCTTCACATTCTCTCCTCCTTCCCTCGCTTGGCCTTCCTCTCTCCCACCCGTCACCCTCTTCGTCCCTTCGCCACCACTCATTCACAGTCACCATGGAGTCTTTTCCATGGCTGCACCCATTATTCCCCCCCCCTCGGCCTCCTGTCTTGCACTTTTCAAAACATCCGGCTGCACATGCCCCCATTTTTGGTCGCCAGCAGGTAAATGTCATTTAAGTGCTTTCTGCAATTAAGGCTTTGGGGTTTCGCGGCCGGGCAAAAGGGCTTGGAAGACAAGCGATGTTTCATCACGCATGGCCAATCTGTTATGTTTTTCGTCCCCCGCATCCCGATGCAAAACAGGATCTTTTCTTTTCATTTCCTCTCCGGTGGAACCTTTTTCCAGAAGGGTGGTCGGAAACCCTTGGTGAACGCCCTCCGACTTTCTGCCGGGGCCAGTGAAGTATTTATTTCTCATTGACCCATCTATTAAAACCCCATTAAAATGACAGCCCTTCCTCGTGTGCCATTAAGCAGAAACAAGGATACTGAATTTAGCCGTTCGGCAGGGGGGATGTTTATAAAAAGAATATTTATGCGCTGGGAAACCGAGACTTTTGACTTGACGGAAGTGCGTTTGTGCATCTGTTCAGGCTCGCGGTAAGAATTAAAATTTGAGTTGGTGTTTTTGAAAGACGTCTGAAGGAGGCAGAGCAACACAACAGCCATTCTGAAGCTTTTTTTTTGTGGCCCCGGACAAAAAGACAACAAGAACTACAGGCCAAATCCAGATTTTGTAAGTCATATAAAGGACCCTATAGGGTGTAGGGTGAAGTCAGTGGCCCCCTTCAAATGGGCCCAAAGCCCTCATGGAGCCATAAGACCCCCCCCCATTGAGAAGGATTCCAAAAGAGGATGATCAAAGCACTCAGTATATTTAATTATGTCGCTAGCTAAAAAATATGAACCCAATACATGCAAAGTTGCTTCAGTCAATGGAAAAAATGAATATTCTTTAGGTGAGAGGAAAAGCATCAAAAATGCAGGGAAACAGGGTTAAAAGAGGGCTCAATGTGGCCCCTCGGGAAAATGGCACTAAATTTGCACAGTGGTGGATTAGAGTGGCATTCAATTTGACTCCTTTTGGGACAATCCTTCTGGTGAAATAATAAGAGCTTCCCAGAACAGTAGCAGTCTATCTCAGGGATAAGAACTCTGAGAGAGAAGCAGAGAGGAGCTTGGTTGTGTTGCCTAGGAAGGTTTACGACCATCCTAGAGGAATAAAGTGCAAAGTTCTACATCTAAGAGGGAAACACCCAAATGCACCATTAGAAGGTGGGGGATGCTTGGAAGTGTTGTAGATCAAGAGCTGAAGATGAGCCCACAGGGTGATGTGGCTGCGAAAAAGGCCAATGCAGTTTTATCATGCATTAACAGAAGTATAGTCTCCAAATCCCGCGAGGTGCTCGTTCCCCTCCATTCGGCACAGGTTAGGGATCCTTTTGAATCCTGTGTTCCAGTTCTGAACACTGCACTTCAAGAAGGATG